TGTTATGGCCAGTTTTCTCCCTCTCAGTTTATGTCTTGATGAAGAAATTTCGTTGAATATGCAAAAAAATAGACTTATGTTGACATAGAAGCGCTTCCACAAGATGTCAACTGAGCCAGCAGGTTCATGCGCCTCTCGTTTTAGCTGCTTCTCGGCTTTAATTATATGCCAAAACCTTTTGGAAGTTTTATCCGGTTTGGGCATGGGACACTACAGGACGCTTATTCAACGAGCCGCAGTTCTCAAGGTCAACTTTCGAAGATCAACTTGTGTCTTTCTTGGACTATGTTTTCAGTTCTTCCAGTATTGGTGATAATGCGTGGGTAGTTTGTGGCCTAATAATTTAGCAATTTATTAAAGTTAGAACATTTTGAATAATTTGCTCATTTACTGTGCACTGAGTGAAAAGAGAATAGAAATTTAGAATACGTGTGCTCAACCTAATAGAAACTCTCATAGGACACGAATCATTTATTAAAAAGAATGAACACCCATGTTGCTTTGCCCAAAATATTTTCTAAATCAGAGCTGTAGCTTTCGAACTATTGCAAATTTTATAGCGACACTCAAGGTCGCGCACATTCAAATGATGATAGAAATGAACTAAGAACGTAGATGTTGGAGATAACGTCAGGAATAAATACACTGCACTCATAACCATCTATATATAAGTATGCTGTTGCAAGCTGAAATGGGTTTCAAAATGAGGTTGATGTTGCACGAGTTTAGTCAACACCTGTATATATATATATATATATATAAACCAAACTCGTGAAACATCCTGATTTGCATTACATTTGTTCCTCTCAATGCTTCGTTTTTCCAGCCTCATTCACGGGATCGAACATAATATTGCCCACATCAGGGGCAACATATATATTACGGTGGCCATCAGATACCATAAAACAGGAAAATGTAATGTAATGCCATGAGCCAAGCAACCTACAACATAGTTGCTATTTGTTCTTTGTTGTCCTGTTGTCCTTTGGGTACTTGAAATATGCGATCTGGATATGACGGCTGTTCATTCTCGCCTTGGATTTAATAAAAACTCCCCATATATTTGGTTAATGACAAGACCCAACGGTGGTGGTAGTTATTAACTCCAATATTCCGGTATAAGACTGGCTGCATTAGTTCATATTCATATATGGGTGGTTATAGTCATCAAAATAGTGACTTGGTTGTCTTAAATTCAAACCTCATCATCGCTGCCCTTCATTCGCATTTCTGTATTCTCTCAGGAAGCATTTATACGAACACAACCTCCTTCTTGAAAGTCGATCCTACATTTGCGTGCCCAATAAAAAAGGAGACAAAAACATTTATAAAAAGACACATTTTCAAAGATAAGACTTCAACATTGGGTTGCTCCGTCCACAATGCACCCGCATCTTTCTTCAGAAAGGCTTTTCAAACGAGGTGGATTTCAAAATCCAACAGTTTACTATCCAAAACGCATGTTTAATTAACATGTTGAAGTACCCTGCAAAAAGGAAGTGATCTAACGCATGTCTCTCTCTCTCTCTCACACTTTTTATCGTCGTGCATATAAGCACCAAATATTAATATTCCTTTCCTCAAGATGCAATCATAGTTTCAATGTTGAATCATTGCACTTATTTACTTTACCGCGACTGGCTCCCTGGAGGTAGGATAAGCCAGATCAATGGTGAGTTTTGCGGATGTGTGGTACGGCAGACGTCCCCAGCTTCACTCGGTGTTTTGTTTTGAAGCCATATCCCTAACCTCAGCGAATTAAGTGCGGACGACAAGGTAGCGGTGTGTTGGTGCATGGTTGCCAGTACCTCCGTAGGAGTTCTTTCGCCATTCTATACATTTAGCTGGAACCCATGGTCCATACATCCAGATTAGTAGGACAAACTTCCTTCATAGCCGTTGGATCAGAAAGTAGATGTCGTCCGCCCATTCAATAGCGGCATTTTCGTATGCTGTACGCCGTCTCGGCTGGGCTTTTATGCCGGGTTACCCTCAGTCTGATTTAATCCAAGCGGGTTGCCGGGGTGTCACTGTCGTCTGTCTCAACTTCGTGAAACCACAGGAAAGATTTGGGTACACGCTGTCGACCAAAATTGGTTTGTCACGTTTGATCAATCACGTCGCACAGCTTTCATAATTTTCTGCCCCTGTAACAACTGTATCGATTGGTGTTGGGCTAATCGTCATGCCTGGTGTATTTAATTCCAGTTTGACTTGTCGGCCCCCGGAAAGTGGAGACACAGGTTGTACCCATGTATCAAGCAGCCAAATTGATTATTATCACAATACAACCGGAACGAAAAAGTTATCATCACCGAACCAACTACGTTTTAATTAGCATGAAGAGGGTTGGTGAAATAAACTACAAATAATGCGATACTTGCGTGAGTGGTTAACAAATTCGGGGTTGAAACCTGAGCAACTTCCTTAGATGCTATTTTCGGAGTCTGTATTTTCAAGTTTGATGATGGTTATTGTAGAAATTATACTGTTTGTCGGTTACCTTGTAGAGAATCTGGTTCGTGACACGTTTCGATGTTGAAATATGTGCGGTCGGTTTAGCCCAAGTTGCAACGTTATCACTCGGCTTTTTCTAGTTCTAGTGAACTCATCTTTTTCTCTGATCGAACGTTCTGGCTCTTATGATTTCGAACGCTAAACCTTCAACAATGGAAAGACTTTCTACACCGTAAACACCCTTTTTCTTCCAGCCTCCCCCCATTTGACCTCTACCCTACCAGCTCTATCCCATCTCTCCCGGGTACTTCAGATGATCGTACTAGCAGTAGTGCCTTGGGCGGAAATTCTGCCGCTTTTCGCTCTTGTCCTACTTCGACTGCTGTCCAAGTCTCTCCGAATCCTCCACCAGCTGAAGCCCTTCTCAACGTCCTTTCAAACTAGCCACGTTTAATGTGCGTACTCTGATGCGTATAGGACACCAGGGGTGTTTAGCTCGTAAGCTGGAAACCCTAGCCATCTATGTGCGTTGCATTCAAGAATCCAGCTCCATTATCCGATTGACGACCCCATCTAACCAATCTGTGAAGTTTCACTTACGCCTCTCTGAGGACCCTGAAGCTGCGGCTTCCGGTCTTGCTGGCGTCGGCGTAGATCTCAGTGAAAGAGCTGAGACCGACCTCTTGGATTAGATCCCAGTCGATAGTAGGTTGTGCGCAGTGAAACTCAGAGGTTCGTGCAAGGTAATCAGCCGTCTCCACGATAGACGAAACTTGTTTGTCGTATCGCTCCAACAGACTGCAGCCCAGATGCAGTCACAGATGAATTTTACCACAATCTTCACGACCTCTTGCGTAAAGCGACCCTGGCTGACATCGTGATTTTAGCGGGAGATATGAATGCTAGAGTAGGCCGGTGGACTTCGAGTGAGGCTCATCTGGGAGGTCCTTTTGGACTAGATTCCTGTCGCTCTGAAAACGGAGAACGGTTGTTGGCCCTATGTTCCGACCACCACCTGTTCCTCGCCAGTACAAACTTCAGACCCTCCAACTGCCGGTACACCGCTTGGCGTCCGCCCTCCTCTAGTTAGAGATGGACGCAGATCGACCACATTGCGATAAGCCACAAGTGGCGGGGCTGCATTCAAGACTGCCGATCGTACTGGAGCACTCCCGTCGAATCCGACCACGCATTACTATGCGCTAAGCTATCCGTGTGCTTCGGTGGGCGTCCCAAATGCACGACACAACGGCGGTTAGCCTGTGATAAGCTGTCCAAACCAGCTTGTCTAATTGTTTTCCAAAACGCACTAGCTGTAAAGCTAGTGTCAACCCCGTCCGATGACGTTAACCAGCACTGGTCGCTTATCAAGAATGCTCTACATTCTGCTGGCTTAGTTAATTGTGGTCTGACACGTCGCTCTGTGACACCCTGGATCCCTGTGGAGTCTCTACGCCTTCTTGATGCACATCGGTCAGTTCCGACCGGCAGCGAGCATAATGAAATACGACTCGTAACAAGACGTGAACTTAATACAAGCCTAGACCGCGAGATCTGGTGGACTTAAAGCGCGTCAGAGATGGAACGTGCTACCGCCATGGGTAGTTCCCGTAAGTTGTTCCATCTCATACGGGTCACCGGCAGGAAAGCCTTGGGTGTGAGCGAAACGATCTGCGAAGCTGACGTTTCGCCCATTCATAGTCAATAACGACACCTTGCACGCTGGGCGGAGCACTTCAAAGCACAATTTAGTTGGTCACCAGCGTCAGCTTCTCACAGCTCTTTCGGCACACGTTCCATGGTCTGTTTCAACAGACCCACCTGAGGCGGAAATCCATAAGGAGATCCAATCTGGGACGTCACAAAGCGCCGGGCTCCGATGGCCTTCCCTCTGCTCTATTTAAAAATGGTGGGATAAAGCTTGTTAGAGAACTACAAGTTCTGTTCTCTAAAGTGTGGAACACTGAGCAGGTCCCCTCCTCGTGGGGGGAATCAATTGTCGTCCCCATCTTCAAAAAGGGCCCGCACAATGACTGCTCCAATCATAGAGGTATAAGCCTTATCCCAGTAGCGTCGAAGCTGTTGGCGTCCGTCATTCTTCGTAGATTGTACACTACACGTGAGGAGCAGGCTGGGTTTCGTGCCGGTCTTGGATGCATCGCCCTCTGACAGCTTCTAGAGCACAGTCATGCCTACCAACGACCAGCGATTATTGTATTCCTAGATATCCGTGCGACCTTTGACTCTATCGATAGGATCGCACTATAGAGCTGTTTGTTCAGGAATGGAGTACCTGAAAAGTATGTGTCGACTCTCAAAGAGTTGTATCGTCATACATCAGGTCGGGTTAGGACCGGTGGCCAACTTTCGCCACCCTTCGCCGTCTCCAGTGGAGTTCGGCAAGGCTGCTCTATATCCCCATTTCTTTTCAACTTCACCATAGAGGATGTTCTACAGAATACTTTGTCTGGTCTAGCAAACGGTGGAGTCGAACTTCTCCCAGTGAACAGAGTTCTTGACTTAGAATATGCCGATTACATCCCCTTGCTGGGTTACAACATACAGGCAGTTCAAAACGCTCTGAACCGCTTGGCGATAGAGGTATCCAGGTTTGGTACGTGGTTTGCACCACAAAAGTGTCTGTTCAAGACTGGCAGGAGCCTGCCTGCACTCACCTGGTGTGGTGATGTAGTTGAGAGCTTTAAGTGCCTCGGGAGCTTGATCGTGGCTGGTGTTGGTGTTGAGGAGGAGATGACATCACGAATAGCGAAAGCTGGAGCAGCTTTCGCCAACCTGTGGCATCGCCAGGACATCCGACTGTCCCTTAAGGGAAGGGTGCACATCGCCGCGGTTTGTAGCGTTCTCCTTTACGGTTGCGAGACTTGGCCCCTCCGCGTTGAGGGTGCTAATCGACTTTCTGTATTTGACCACCGATGTCTGAAGCATTTCTCGTGTCTGATGGGAACGTCGGGTGAGCAATGCCGAGGTCCGTCGTCTTGTGTTGGGTCCGGATAGTCGTTCTCTAACAGAAGTAGTCGTTCTACACCGCCTCCGATGGCTTGGTCACGCATTGCGTATGCCTGCCTATCGATAACCTTTCCGTGCTCTCCGCACGTGCCGGGCAATGCTGGAAGATGCGCCGCGGCGTTCAGACCAGGACATGGTGTATAGGCATGAAGAAGCTGGCCTCAGCTTTGGCTTCGGTTTGTGCAGCTCGCCATCCAGGTTGAGGCCCAAGGGATGGGGATTGTCGTTGGTTAGGGACGCTTAGAGGTATGGCCCAAAATAGAAGTGAGTAGCGCGAATACTGTACGGTCTGCCTGTCGAAATCCTGTGCCCCGTAAAACTAACAAGCAACACAAAAAATATCAAAAGTGTACGGTGAAACATACGCACACAAATTGTTGTGAGTTATCTGCCATTTTCCCGTATTTAACTGTTTCACTCTCTTCCCACTTTGCTCTGTACCCCAATCCCTATTATTTTTATTGTTAAAATGGCTGTGGCGTTGGCACCATGCTTATTCACAAGCAGACCCAATTCATTTTATTGTATTGTACTGTTTTCAATTCAAGCTTTAGCGAGTTATATATACAAGCTTTCAGCCAAAAAATAGACCAGCGTTACAATTCTGGTATATATATATACTGATCGATAAGGAGGTGTCCTGAATCTGAGCCTGTACAGTCACCGCAACTAAATCGTATCTCGTTTGATCATCTGTGAACACCTTGACAAGTCGGGTGTCGACTGATCAGTTTTTTTTCTACGCCTTTGTCGTGAGCATAATTTTGTCCGTTTTGTCATATGTGTGAACTCGGTCACTAGTGGGATGCAAACAGTACAATCTTTAATTCTTCTGTCTCGCAGGTTGGATTGGCCGTTGTGAATAATCAGCTGATAGCAATCGGTGGTTTTGATGGAGCTACGTATTTAAAAACTGTCGAACTTTACGACCCCGAAGCAAATTGTTGGCTTCTTCGTGGCAGCATGAATTCACGTCGACTGGGCGGAGGAGTAGGTGTAGTTCGTTTGGCCAACGCGACGTGGAATCTGGGTTTAAACAGTTCGTCTATTGGATTACGCGATGACCTTCCCGGTGACCTCACCCCGAAGCCAAGCGGATCCGGTGGAATGAATGCACCCCCTCCGCCACCACCACCACCGCCTGGTCTCACGGGCTCCACATCCACAGCTGTTCTGATGATGACCCAATCTGCATCCGCCTCATCCGGGTCCACTGCTACAGGTACCATAGGTGCTAGTATGACTAATTCTGTGATCGGACCGGGCATCTCTGGGAGTGCGGTCAACGCAACTACGTCTATCGGGAACAATTCAGGTCCGTCTAATTCTGGCCCGAGTCTAACAAGCGGAGCTGGATCAAACGGGGCATTTCTCTTTTGACATCCGCTCTTCATCCTCTCTTACGCACACACATTCAGAGATCATCGCGAATGGCATCTTGTGTGCTGTCCATTCTATCGGCTTCTGTAAGCCGTATACTCACACGCGCACATCGTCCTAGTACGCTGTGTCCCTTCTTTGCACCGATACCAATATTGGTCTTATTCTGCTCGAAGCAGATCACATTTGTACATACCTGTCCATTGATTGTTTCACGTTATTCCTTCCCTTCCCATCCAGTTACAGTTCAGGATGGTGAGTGTGGTGTCATGCGCACTTATCTCGTCAAAATTTTATAAGAGGGAGGTGTTTATACGCACACACAAATCCTGTCCTGTACCCATCAGCACTTCCTCCTTTTGCTAGTTCGTTCGCTTTCATTGCTCTCACACCGCTTTCCCTGTCCTCGTATCGATGACGGGATAGGTGATCGTGTCCGATGATGATGAAGAAGCTCTGTAATGGTTTCTTTATGTGCATTTTTATTTACTCCGACCTTAATCCCCTGGTATGAATGGGGAAACTCATGCCAGCTTGAACCAATCTTGTTTATAGGTCATATGAAAGAACAACCGCTGCAGACGTGGTTACTACAACTGTCCTCTTTGCTAACCATCGTTCCTGACCATTTCGTTTTCTCGCTGTGGTACTTGTCCTGCGTCTCCCTGTGGTTATTTATTTTAGCACTATTATAACTATGAATACTGCTACTGATACTCTGAATATTATTCCACCTTACACCGCCAACCCCATCGTTACATTTGTTTTTGATTTGTTCTCGTTTTCTTCTCAAAGAATCATTCAGTTAGTCATTTACAATCCGCGGAAAGCAAATAAAAGAGCGTCATTATTCGAATTCCGTGTTGTGTTATCCTCAGTCTAAAGCATATGCAATCGGTCCGCTCCCTTTTCATTCAATTTCTCCTATTTCTTTGCTACCTATCCCGGATGACGAGATATACCTACTCTTCCCGCACCCCATCTCTGCGCCACTTAAACCATGGCGGTCTCCTCTGTCCGAAATCAATAGCTGTAATCACTGACCGATAATGTAGAATGTTGCTAGACATACGCAACACGTGTCCTGACAATTGAAGTTCATTTGTGTAAGTGCGTAGGCAAGCTTATTGCTATCGGGGCTGCTGTACGCTACGGAGAGCGTCTCCAGATTGCAGCCGGGG